GGTATTCCCGGTAACGCATGCGTTCCTCTTAACTTTAAGCATAGATTCCTGAGAGCTTTACGCTTCTCTTCCTGATAAGGCTGAGAGCAAGGATGAATAGGTGGGAGCCGAGGGTAATGCCCCAACAACGTTACACGCCGCAAGCTGCCCCCCGAGTCCCCAGTGTGTGGCGAACTCAAGTACAGGCACAGGGGCTCATTTCAGTCGGTCTCTGCTATCTGCTAAGGGAGAGATGAGCGCCTTTTGATGTGGATTTGAGCTGCTGCTTTGAGCTGTGGGGAAGGCCACCCGGCTCCCCAGCCTGCCGGGACTCGCAGCCATCCTGCTAAGCTGCTCACCCCGGCCCTCCAGCTAAGCCAGCTGTAAATAAAAACAGCTGGGATTAATTTTTTTGCCTAATAACTTTGACAATGCACCTCTCAGCCACTCCAGTGAGCAACTTTGAAGTCGTCTTGAATTGCTGCAGGATTTTCTCTTGTGTCAGTTTCCTTGTCCTTTATAAAGAAAATAGAGGATTGGACATGATGCTAAGCTGGCAGGGCTTGAACAAGAGACAAAGCTTCAGTTCATCCCCATGACAGAGAATAAACTCTTTACCACACTGATTTTACAGATACGCAAGCCAGTTATTAGCAGCATATCCCACAGACAGAGAGCCAATATGGACATGTAGTCGGTGTGACTCATTATTGCAGGTTGACAAAAAACATCAGGAAAGAACAAACAGAACTTCCAGTGAGAATACCAGCAGGATTTTTCCGTTAGGGGAACACAGTTTTAGGGGCTCTGAAGACAAAATGGCTGCTCTGTGTTTGAACACAGGTGGGGAGCTGAGGAGGCCAGCCCATAAACAACCAGGCAAGCCACAGTCTTCCAAGAGTTACAGGACGTGTCCATTATTTGAAGTGCTTTGAGCCTGTGTTGCTAGGAATAGAGCGCGCGGCTAAGTGATGAGACCCGTGTAGCACACGAGAGGGAGCGGAGCAGCACAGCGGGTTCATGTGGCCTTTCCGTGAGGGAAATCATCTCTCACCTGCGTTGAAATCGTGAGCAGATGACAGATCAACACGAGTTTGCTGTGTGGCTCATTGCAGGGCCCCAGGGACATCTCTCAGCCTTACACAACCTACTTCGCAGCGCATGGCCCCGCTGGCAGCCCGCGCAGGACAGGGAGAGGACAGGATCAACACAAGGTGTCAGTGACCACATACACATGGGCAGAGCCACGCTGAACCCGCAAGGCTGGAATAGCCAAGCCGATTCCTCAGGAGAGAAATAATGCACAGCCATCCCTGCCCATCGCTAAACAAAACTCTTCATCTCACTTTCATACACTGTAGGTTTTTATCCAAATTGTTCTTAAAAGCTGTTGTAGAAAGAATTCAAGTGCCCTGAATGTGTAGTCCCGAGGGTTTCAGAAAGGAAATATGATGTTCTTTTCTACTTAGTCCACACGTTGTCTTTTATATTTTGCATACACACAGTGCAAAGTAATTAAACCCAAAAAACCCATGACCCGTCAAGACCTGACCGAACACATAGAACTTACTCTGCTTTAGCTGTGCCACCGTAATTGAAGGACAACTGCTTGGTGCGGGCACGATTGTATCGGAAGAAATACATGCGCCATAGAGCTTATTCTTGTACAGAAAAGGAATAAGAGGCATCTTTAGAAGTGAAAACCAGGATAAGCACAATAGCAGAGACACACAAGTGCAAGTATTTGCTCTGTCATGGATGACTTCTGTGACTTTTGGCAGGTTAAGCCATCTCCCTGGATAGGTATATGCTATTTGGAAAGACTACTGTGCGAAGGGGCTCAGATGTGGTGTATGGCACCCTTCCCAGGCCTCCCACAGCCAGCCTGCCAGCCTAGGCAGGCTCACGGGGTCCCCCAGCCCAGAGCTATGCCCCAAAGCACTGGCACCCCACGAGCTTCTAGGCTGCAGGGCGCAAAGGCACGTCTCTGTCACGCTCCTTTCCACAGCTTCCACATCTTTAACGTGGAGATGACAGCACCTCACTGTGTCCATGGAACCGTGCAATGACAAATACGTTTAAAGACTGTGGTGGTTTCATACAAAATGGTAACCGGAGGACATATAAGATCCTTAGATAGAAAACAGCAACCTTACTATTACCTGTGTTGACATAAGTACATTCAAAGAAAAGTCACCTCTTTCCTCCAGCTAACATATAACAGTAACACAAAGCGTACAGATCATGGCACAATTCATTACGAAGTAAATTAGAGTGACAAAATAAACTGTGCTGAGAAGGGACCATTTATGTGCATCAGATAGTTCTGGATAAAGAAATTTATAGCGATGAGACAAACAATGTCAGAGAAATCTCCACAGGGCTCAGTTCAGCTACTTTTGAATGTTGTACTTCTATTTCTCTTCAGTTTTGCATTCTGAAGCTTCTATGTATGCTTGCGCAGGGAATACTCCCCATGTACATTTTGGTTATAAATAATGGGTGCTGACTGGACTTTAAATCTTTTCTATTTCCAGAACTGAGGCGTGAGGCTCCCTAAGTGCCCCCGAGTGGCTTCAATTTCTGTCCTCAACAAAAGATATCAAACGAAATGCAGGAATGCCTGTC